AAGTGTAGGAACTTTTGAGATAAAAATTCAGGAGTAATCAGGGAAGAGGAAACCGGCTGGACAGATAGGTCTTTTAATTCCTTTAGCAAAGTAGTCACTTCCAAAAAGTTGGCACTTTCGATTGTTGAAAGATGAGTAAGTTGAGGACTCAAATTTTCATATAACTTGACAAATCTTGTGACAGCGTCACAAATAATATCAACCTTCTGAGTCAGAGATGCATAATCTTTTTGAATAGTGGCAATCTTTTTTTGCATATCTTCACGAAGTTCATGAATCTGCAGATTGACATCCTCCATGACTTTCTTTACTTCTTGAACAAATAGAACATGCCTTTCCTTTGTTACATGCTTGAATTCTTTCATATCTCCGGCAAACTTCGAATTTTGAGAATGGATGCGTAGTTCATTATTTTGATCACTATGATCAACCTTCTCCAAAATTCGAGATTCAGAGTCTGTAATCATTCCAGATACTTTACTTACAACTCTGGCTTCGAACATTTTCAACAATGAATCAACCTCTAAACTTGAAACAGACGAACCACCCCCCAGATCAGCTTGAGATTGAATTATAGAATTCAACTTCTGATTCAAAATTTTAAATTGCTTCATTGTCATCAGCATATGATCTGGAAACTCCTCTTCGTCTTCATGAAACTCTAATTCTTCAAACGTACCTCCAGAACCCTCATTATCAGTTTCTGTTTCCATAAAAACAGTTTCTTGAACGGTTTAATTAGGTTTGGGTGTATCAGTGGAGTGAGAAGAAAAAATAGAAGTGAAGGGTTGATTGATTATGTTTTCGAATGTAGGGGAATCAGTGGTGGAAGTAATTGGAATAATTGGTGGAGGTAAAGAAACAATATGTTCGAAAGTTGAAGAAGTTGGATGACCTTGATCTTCTTTATTCGAATCTCCTTCACCCATATTGACATTTGCATCCGTATCAGATACGTTTTCAGGGATGCCTGAAGTTCATACCTCCTCAGAAACTGATTTGGCAACTGAATCTTCGGGTGGTATGACTATTGTCTGCTCAGGAGTTGAACTTTTTACATGAAGAGTTACTTCTGGTGTTTCAGGAATTCTTTCATCATCATCTTCTGTAGACTCAGTAGAAAGCATAAGCTTTCGTGTCTTCTTCTTCTTCTTCTTTGACAAATGTTTGGCCATATCCTCAGCCCTTCATTTCTTGGATAATGGAGAAACAGGTGCTGGCACTTCTCGAATTAAAACACCTTGATGAGTGATGTGAGGTTTTCGAACCATTTTTTGTGTTGGAGACTTGCTTTTATGTGTGGACTTCATTTTGATTCTACGAAACATACCAGTCTTCGAAGGAATGATCACGTGTTCTTGAGTTTCTTCAGCGACAGGCTCAATCACTTGTGTCTCAGCAACAGACACTTCAACTGTTAGAAGCTTCTTCTTTGGAGATTTCGAAGAAGTCAACTCTGTGATTTTGTCTTCATGAGAAGTAGTTTCAGTCTTCTTTGACCGCTTGGATTTCTTACCTTCCCTGTCCAATAGTTTCCCAGTTTCGATAGAAGAATCAATAGTCTTCAAATATGCCACTAAAACAGAATTCGAAGGATCAACTCTTTTGAGAATTGCATCTGGAATACGAGCAACAGATGGAAAAACCTCAGCACTATCTGTGACATCCTTCGGATAGTGGTATGGTTGAAAAACAGCTTTTTCTTCATCAATGGGTACCAAAATCCCTTCCTTGTTGTAAAAATGTTGTAAAACCAAGCTCTAGTATCTTGCACACGAAATACCATGAATAGCATTCGTGTGTTCTACACTCTTTTGGAATTCCTTCCACAATTGTGTAGAATAATCCACTTGAAGATCATAGTATAGCCCAGCAACCATGGCATATACTTCCATTCTTCCTTTGTCAAGACCAACTATTCTCCCAGTTAAACATCTTAGAAAAATACCAAATAAGAAATTCCAGATACTTGGAAGACCAGATTTCTTAAAATCACTGATCTTAGATAACTGAGGCTGATATCCCATCTCATTAAACATATGAACTATTTCAGGAAATGTGAAAGCAACATACGGAGGTGAATTCGGAATTTCAAGAATTTGGCAAAAGAGTTTCTTTGATAATCTGACCTTTTTGTCATTCACCAGATGGAAAGTAATTGTATCAGAAGCTTTATTGTAAGTAGCGGTTGATCCGGCTTGAGAAAGCCATGACATTGGAACAGAGAATGAACTGAACATCGCTTTAGACAAAACATAGCTCTTTAAGGCAACGATTAACATCTTCAATTCTTCCGGGTATTTAGAAACATCACCCTCCAAGTAATAGTTAGTTGCTTGAATCTTCATAATTGGCAATGAAGATACATCTTCAGTGGTATGAGAAGGATCATCATAGATAATATGAACAAACATAGTAAATCTAATGCCTATAAAACTAGTATGACCATCATGCTTGATCTGTGACAATGGTTTAGTGAGAAGATCAACTGAATTTTCTTCTGATGGTACTCTGCTCACAATGAGACGTCTAGCCTTGTACATATCATGGCGTACATGATCAATCCTATAGACAAGGCATATGAGACTCAACTCATAAGATCCAATTCTTCAGTAGTATTGGGACATTGAGTTTTACTCAAAACTGTGCCACGTTGCATAGGTAACAATCCCTTCTTAGATTCTTGCATCTTGAATATCATCAAGATTTTATCTAAGTATGTAATTTGGCAAACATCTATTAGTCGCCTAGATCTATCCTTAAAGATCTTGACACTAAGTATGTAGGCAACTTCTCGCAAGTCTTTCATAGCGAATCTTTTCCCAAGCCATGCTTTTACATTATTCATTTTTGGGATGTGATTTCCTCTTAGGAGAATATCATCGACTTATAAGACAAGGAATATAACCATCCTCCCACTAGATCTAACATACGCACGTTGTTCATCTTCATTTCTTAAGAAGCCAAACACCTTGATCTTCTCATCGAAACAGATGTTCCACCTGTGAGGTGCTTGTTTGAGTCCATAGATTGACTTTTCAAGCTTGCATATCATATTGGGAGACTTGGACTATACAAAACCTTTCTAGCCGAGTCATATAAACATCATCAATCAGTTTCCCATTAAGGAAAGTAGTTTTTGCATTCATTTGCCATATTTCATAGTCATGAAATGCAACTATGTAAAGTAGTATCCCAATAGACTTAATCATAGTTATTGGTAATAAAGTTTCATCATAATCAATTCCTTGAGTCTGATTATAACCTTTCCCAACCAGTCGAGCTTTATAAGTTTGTACATTCACATCCATGTCATTCTTCTTCTTGAAGACCCATCTACACCCAATGTTTTTAAGACCAGGTGTAGTATTATCTATAATTGGTTATTGTACATAGACTGAATCTTGCCGTCCATCGATTCTTTCCATTTTGTAGCCTCTGGGCTCGTCATGGCTTCCTAATAGTTGTGTGCCTCATTATATCCTAATACGTTGTCATCATCTTGAGTAACATGTAATCCATAGAACTTTGGTGGACGACGGTCTTTATTATATCTACGATATGGTAGTGGAAGTATATCAAATTCCTTAACTGGTTGTTCAACCTCTTGTTGTGGTTTAGTGTCAACTTTAGGTTCTTCATTGGCTGACTCTTGAATCTCATCAAGATCGATTGGGTTCCTAATAGTTTCTTGAGATATCAGCTCCCTTTCACGAAAGAATGCCCTACGAGCAACAAAGATCTTGTTCTCAACAGGCTTGTAAAACAAGTATCCAAAAGAATTTTTAAGATAACCAGTGAAGTAACACCTTTTTGATATGGGTTCAAGTTTGTCGAGTGCTTATTTATGAACAAAAGCCTCACAATCCCAAACCTTGATTCGTGCTAGAGAGGGACGATTCCCTTTCCACATTTTGAATGGTGTTTTCCCAACCTTCTTAGTTGGTACAATGTTTAGAATATAAGCAGTCGTTCTTAGGTGGTAACACCCTTGATCTCTAACATCTAATTTATAAGAATTATCAAATTTTATTTACAAATGCAAAAAATATACTTATAATTTAAAACTTTTTTACATCCCAGGTTGAATTGATTAAACACAATATAAATTTACCTATTTATATAAAAGAAGAATACGCCAATAGCATCCTATTATTTAAATTTGATCTTGTGCTCTTTTCTTCTCTTCCGGTACCATGACTTCTAATACATGAACATGCAAAACATAAATCTCTACTAGAACGGACACTAGGTCTGGTGAGTTATTCTATTATCTTTTATTACTTTCTTTCTCGTAATTCATACTCATCCTCATAGTGTAATGTCCCGATTTTCAAAGACAAATTTTTTATTTTATTTATTTAAAACGTAGGTCTTACGCACTATATTACAAACCATTGTCATATATTTAATTATAAAAGTGTGTTTTAGTAGAAGTCTTTAAAACATTATTGATGCCTTTGATGCGGATCCAGTCATGCATGAGCCTTTTCCCGATCTTAACAACAACCTGAAAGACACTTATTCAACAACTTTAAGCCGATGGTTAGTAAATTCCCTCAAGATACAAACAAATATCAATAATATTCAATATAGGTCTTATTTTAGATGTATAGACGATATATTTCTTTTTATGATGTAATTTCATTATTACTTTTATATTTTTGATCATTTAAACTACTATCTTAAATTGCATAGGAGAAAAAAATTAAAAAATTAAAATAAGTATGTAATGTGTATTGTATATGCATAGGAGAAAAAAATATAGCACTGAAAACATGACTTCAAATATATAAAATAAAATTAAGAAAAAAAGCCAAACACTTAAAATAAATTTAATTCCTTATTAGTTTCTAGATATTTTATTAAGTTATTAATAATATAATTTTTGCAATAGTATTTTTAAAAAAAATTTATTTGATCCTTACACACCAAAAACACATAAAACCTCATAAACCCAAAACTCCTAAAGTCCACAATCTTTTGCATCAAGAAAATTAATGGGAAAACGAGGAAGAGATCGTCCTCCAAACGTTTCAATCTTCAATCAAGATCCCGAGTTCTTCGAAATCTTCCTCCCAAATCGTATATCACACCAACTGGTACTCTCTCTTCTCGAACGCCTTATTCAGAAACTTCTGTAATCGACATTCATAATGCATCGAACATCAAAAGCCACATAAACTTTTATTCCATTGATATCCATCGGTTTAGATTCACGTCATTTGATGAATTTTTATTTCTTTGATCAATAGAAAGATAACTCTACTCATCATGTTTGTCTTTCCGAAGTGAAATTTGTGGCAACTTGAACTCAAAATTTCTCGAAATCTCTATTTATTTTTCTTGGTTGATGAATTTGATGTTTAATGTTTGAATCTGCAGCGGATACCACCGGATTTTGTCAAGCATTTTGATCAAAAGATACCGGAGAAGATCGTTCTTAAAGATGTTTCAGGAAGAGTCTGGCATGTGGATGTGAATCGAGGGAAAACTGGTGTTTTTTTGAAGAATGGTTGGAATAGATTTGTGAAGGAAAAGAGCCTACAGCTTGGCCAATTTATGGTGTTCAGATACAACAGAAGATCATCATCATTCACTGTTTGACTTTTTGGTAAGAATGCATGCATGGATGAAGATCAAGAATCAAGAAAACCCTTGATCAATAGTGTGAAAGATGAACAAGAATCTGATTTGGAATCAACCCCGATGCCTAAAACTAAAAGAAACTGTAGAAAATCACCAAATTTTGCGATGATAATGAGTTCAATTTTCCATTCTTTTACCTTTTCTTTATGAAAAAGGCTTTAATATTGTCGGTATTTTAGTTTATTATTCTTTTAGATATGTTCCAAACAAGCAGTTGTAAAGATATAGAGGGAAAAAAAGTTGTATGCGAAGTAGTTTGAAGAAAAAAGATGATTTCCTATATTCAAGATTCTTTATGATTATATATCTGTTATGTGTTTATATTTTTTAGGATTGATAAATTTGATCAGTTATGTAACTTATGTTTATATACGTCCATGGATTTTAGGAATTTGAATGTGGTTGTGAATTATTTAGGACATAAAAAGAAAATCACTTTCAACTGTAATGTTCCATTGGTCACAAAACTTAAATTCACCAAAACCACCATCAAGGAATGAAGATCCACTGCCATTGAAAATGAAAACACAATTTGCAAGGGCCTTAAAGATAGCATTAACAGTCTGAAACTTGAACAAAATTTCATGAAACTTGCAAGGGCCTGTTGCTTACAATCTTACTAAAAGAGGTATGAACTTGAACTCGACCCTCTGCCCCCTTTGGGCTAGTTCATATGAGTGTGTTGATCACCTGTTTTTTGATTGTTCCTTCAAGGTTGCTGTCTGGAATTGGGCCATTTGGAAGACAAGAAATGACATATTGTTCAAAAATCCTCGTGGATACCCGATGGAGACGGCAGATGATATACAATTAATTTCCTTCAAATGGTTAAAACATAGGTCTTGTTTGAAGTCCTTAGACCGGACAGATTGGTGTTGTTCTCCTAATTTTATATCTTGTATTTTGTAATGTTCTAGCGTCTTGCTAGTTTTGTTTTAATGATATTTGTTGTCGTTCGAAAAAAAAATCAAATGGGTTGTGGAGGGAAATGAAAACTTATGTTTTTTCCATGGGCTCATTGAAAACAACATGAGTTGTGGAAGAATTAACAGGCTAGCAATCACCGGAATCTGGATTGTTGATCCGATAATAACCAAGGAGGGAGTTTGGAGATTCTTCTTATGAAAATTTATAAAATCCACAAAGTTTTATTTCCTAATGATGCCTCTTTCCTTGATCCTCCCTTCATAGTTATTGAGGTTAAAGAAGTGATTTGGGTTTTGCGAAAAGGCTCCCGGGCCTAACAACTTCACTTTTAAATTCATAAAAAATTGTTGGCACCTACTTGAAGGAGATTTTGTGAAATTTATCAAGGAAATTGAGACTTTTGGAAACATTAGTGGATGATATAACTTATCTTTCATCTCCTTAATTGCAATTTGCAAAGGTGAAAGATCCTTAGAATATCAGTTCATTAGCCTCATCGGTTGCCTTTATAAAGCTCTTGAAAAACTCTTAGTCAATAGACTCAAGTTGGTTATTAGTTTGGTGGTTAGTGAGGTCCAATTGCCTTTCATTATTGGTCGGAATATCTGTGACGGTCTCCTGCTGGCTTTTGATATAAAATATAAGTGTGTTTTTGTCACACCCCCAAACCAGAACGGCGGAAAAGTCTGGGGGTGGATGAATTTCATGTAGAGTATCATAACAAATGAATAGTAGTGATCACAACATTACAACCATCATATTGATAAATAATAAGTTTACATTGTATCCAAAAACATTGTTTACTTGGTACCATATACATATGATAAAAATAAATGACGTGACGCTGCGACGTCCCATCCTCAAAACCGTTTCGGTTATCTGTTTACTGATTTCCTTAGAATACAAGTGATTTTGAAAAGTGTCAACAATTAAGTTGATGAGTTCATAAGAGTTTTGTATGACAAAGATTTGGTAATTTTTCCTTGTAAAAATGATAGAGGTTACTTTCAGAAAATCCAATATTTTCTCTAAAAATGAGCTGTAAGTCTTAACTCCAAAGACTAAAAATGTATGTAGTACTGTACTGGAAAATAGTATTATGAAGTTTTATCTTTATATAAAAATATTTGAATGTATGTTAACCCCATAAACCAAATGTTTTGTTAATACCCCATGTGAGTTATCATAACCATGCTAACGGCTAGTTGGCCTGCTACAACGTTCTTCAGGCGTCGGAACTGTTAGAAATTTGTCACCCTAGACTTGCCGGTCTAACTGTAGCTAACAGCTTAGGTGCGGGGTTGTCAATCCTGTATAGATCTATACACAAGTTTCATCCTCTCCCCACAAGAGACTCTAGTTATAATTCAGGAGTTAGTGTGTACTCTGGTAGGTACGGTGAATCCAAATGTCTCACAAAATTGTATCAACCGGTTTACGTGTACTGAAAAGCCCTTTTTCTTGTAAATGAATGCATTACTCTTCCATAGTGATTACATAGTGTAAAATAATTATACCTTTAAATAATTATATGTTTGTTCCGAAATGATAATGTAGTGTTTGTGACTCCCAAACTATACCAATTATAGTTTATTATGTTTGTTTGTTAAGACTATTTATATAATCATTTATATAAATACATAGTAGTTATCTTGTCTAGATGTTTTTAAAAGATTATGTCATAAAAACTTACATCTAACACAAGTATGAGAAATTTGTATGAAAAAGTCCATTTCAAGCTTTTGCCCCCTTTTTTAACGGTGTTTTTGTCTAGTTTCCAAATGTATGGTCAAAACAACATATTTTGGGTTGTATCCCACAAAAATGGTGAAATAACTAGAATGTAACCATTTTGTTAGAAAAACCATATCTTGGTAAAAAGTCTCAAAAATCCTTGTAGCTTTATGGTTTTAACCTTTTACTAAAGAACATATAACATAGTGTATGTTTGTTTTTCTTAGTTTTGTATCATTAAAACTATCATACTACAAATAAATGTTTTAAAAACTAGTAATACTCATATTTCATGCAAATAATGTTTTATATTCACAAGGAAATAGAACATGCAAACATATGTGTTAAGGACCACTTGGAAAAATGTGTGTAAATGAGATGAACCTAGTATTATCTTATGAGTTTTAACACATAATAATGTGTGTAAATGAGATGAACCTAGTATGAAAGTGTGTAGAAACACTAGATTAAGAAGAAAACACTTACCAAATTGTCAAGGACCACTTGGAAAAATTAATCTATGGAAGGCTTGGACTTGTTCTTGAGAGAAAAGATGAAGAATGATGAAGAAAGATGAAGATAGTGAGGGTTTGGGGATGATCTCGGCCGAAGTTAAAGAGGGAAGGATGAGGTGATGTTTGCATTGTTATTTGTTGGATAAAAGCCTTGATATATGCTGGGTAATAATTTTTGTTGGAAATGATGAAACCTCATGTCATGAAGTCAACCCTTTCTTTTCTCTTCTTTCCCACCGAAAACATCATAGAGCCACCCAAATCACATGTGATTTCGGTCTAGCACCATCGAGATCACCTAGTGATTTCGGTCAATGTACCAACCGAGATCCCATGGTGATTTCGGTCTAAGTACCAACCGAAATCACAATGTTTTGGGTCCTAAGCCGAGAACCCTAAAGGCAAGGTATAATTTTCATGTTTATCTCCCACTAGTTTGACCTTCGTTGACTTGTTTGACTTTTGTTAGCTCGTTTGACTTTTGTTAGATCGTTTGACTTCTGTTAGATCCAAAATCGACAGTTGTCACATCATCCCCCCGTTAGAGGGAATTTCGTCCCGAAATTAGTTCTTGAGTGGGTACCCATGAGCTAGGGAAAAGGTGTGTTTACTTCTGTTTCATCTGACGTTCGCGTTCGCAGGTGAATTCAGGCCCTCACTTGGCGTTCCCACGGACCTTCACTATGGGTATGCGACTTTGTTTCGTCCTTTTGATCTCCTTATCCATAATTTCCACAGGTTACTCTATGAAGTGTAGACTCTCGTTCACCTCAATTCCTCGAGTGGAATTACAAGTGTTTCGTCGGACAGACACTTCTTCAGGTTAGACACGTGGAAGGTGGGGTGTATGTTACTGAGTTCTTGTAGTAGTCGAAGTTTGTTAGCCACTGGGCCAATTCTGGAAAGGATCTCGAATGGCCCGATATACCTTGGATTCAGCTTCCCACGTTTTCCAAATCGTATTATTCCCTTCCAGGGCGAGACCTTCAACAGGACGCGGTCACCAACCTGGAATTCCAAGGGTTTGTGTTGCTTATCTGCATAGCTCTTTTGCCGATCCCGGGATGCCTCTAATCGTTCACGGATCTGAACAATCTGCTCTGTAGTTTCCCATGTGATCTCAGGGCCAATGAGTGTGCTATTAGACACTTGTCCTCTCGCTAGCTGCGTGTCACCCACCTTAGTCCAGTACATAGGTGATCTGCACTTGCGCCCATAGAGAGCTTCGAATGGAGCAACCTTAATACTAATGCGGTAACTATTATTCGATGATCGGTAAATGGGTATCCCATGCTTTACCAAAATCTATCATACCAGCTCTCAACATGTCTTCCAACGTCCGTATGGTTCTCTCGCTTTGTCTGTCGGTTTGAGAGTTGTCCTTGGGTGTCTTAAGTTCTCATCGGGAGTATCTTCCTCCGAAACTCGAAGCTGAATGTATCCCGATCTTAGGTCAACTTTCTGAGAAGTAACTCGTTCACTACAAGAAAAAGACTCTTTTACGACGCGCAAACAAAGACACTCATTGATTTATGTTACGCAAAAGAGAGTGACATTAAAAAAGTGATTTAAACTAACTGAAAACAAAATGACAAACCCCACCGCCACTCATTGATTTAAACTAACGTTATATAGTCTCTTATATGTGATGTAAATAAGCTATTGAGGTAGTTTTTGATCAATTTTAATTCTTTTTTTTAGAATGCAAAGAGAGATGGGGTTTGTCATTTTGTTTTCAGTTTTAGTCTTAAGTTCGTATTCCTACCCATATATGTTCACTTA